CACTTCATCGCATCCGAGTATTGCGTATTTACAGCTCAAAATCCATGGATTTGGTGTGCGGCGGCGGCGCTCGCAAAATCGCTCTTGTCCCACGCGGTGCAAAAGCCCAAAACGCGCGATGTCGTCAACGTGTTAAACCCTACGACAATATGTTTATGAATTTGACGCTGAAGGCTGCATTTCTTGTTGAATAGTGTACTCCTCTCTGTAATTTCACACAACCTTTCAGAATCCTCTTGATTTTTCCTGAATTGAGATTTTTCTCCAGAGAGCCGTAGTTGAAGCGCGCGCAACCAACTGGGCCCACTCTGGGATGCGCCGTGTGCTTCACATCCCTTCAGATTGAGGACTCACTTGAAAGATAAAATATCCTTGGAAAACGTGCGAATTTCGGATTCTTTAACCTGTGGTGATCAATCACTGAGGTAGCCCGAAATTAAAGAACTTGTCATTTAAAATCCTCTTAAGATAAGCTTGCACAGCATCGATCACTTCTTGATGTTTGTCTTCCGACAGTGATGTTCCTACTGCATCGATCCCTCACAATCCTTCCCCCCTCAGCGAGCCAAATACGACCCCTGTCGCCCTGTCGAGGATTCCTCAACGCACTCTTGACCCCGATTACCATTCCTTCCTCAACCATAGGGCGGAAGTGGTGTAGTGGCAAGTGGCACGCTTACCACGCGAGCGGTCCGGGGATCAAATCCTGGGTCGTGAGTCGCCCGGGCCAACCAAGCCTTCCATCCCTCCGGGGTCGGTTAATTGGTACCAGACTTGTCTGGGAGGATAAAAACACTGACTTGTACATCGGCTGGCCCCCGCAAGTCATTGTATAGGCCACATCGCATTCAAACGCCACTACGAATGTACAAATGCCGCATCCCAAAAAGGGATTGATCAACGGCAAATGCTTTATCCTTTTATCCTTTTACGTAGGAAGACTTTGCTTGACCATCTTCTTTGCTACCTCAGGTAACAAAAAGCTGGTTTTCACGTACATAAGTGAAAGCATCACTAGCTCGGACACGTAGAATCAAGGATTTCAACGTCAAAGCGGCAACCTGGGACTTTGTGAGTTGGTAGAGCTGGAACTCCATGAGAGCTTCTACCAACGGATCCCATTGCTTTTAGTGAATAAATGGCAAACTGATGGACTTGCTAGACTGTGCGTGGGAAACATAACAGTCGGCAATGCTCGTCCGCGCTCTGCGGCAGTGGTCCAACAAAAGCCTCCAAGCTCCTTATGTGAAGTTCCCATCTGATAGGTTGAGCGGACGTAGCACTGACAGATTACCATCTGCGTCTACCATCTCAATGAAGAAATGAATCACCGATTACGTCCGGTGATCCAGACCTTGTCGAAAAGGCCTTTTTCGAGTATATTGCATTAAAAGCTCAGTATTTCTAAACAAAGGACATTTATTCATTGAGAAATATCATTTGTGTTCATAAAACTCGTATGTCTTCTAAACGTATAACTTTGAATTTGCACACCATATCAAAAAATAAAATCTAAAAAATCCGATGATGTCTGTTCGAGAGCATTCCTGCTCAACAATAATGTAACAAAGAGCATGATGACAATCCTCTAGTTAGCTCGAACTGGCTCCATCTTTCCAAACTACCACAAACTGAAATACACGTATTAAAAAGGTTTCACAAAACTGAAAAGCAGGAAAAATTCGAACAGACTCCAAATGAAAAAGACGGCACATCACGTACCGTATCCCGGAATGGTGCCACTTCGACATCTGGAAGATGTGCTCGAATCCGTTTAACCCAGTACTCGACACCATGATTAGTAGGGAACAAGTTGAGCACAGTTCCCAGCTGTAATCAATGAGCGAAGGTCCTCCTTTGAAAATCTAAACGCGTAGTTCTTCTAACAAGTGCAATAGTTGACTTACCGGGCGGAAACCGGAATAATTGACATTCCTGTGTATAAATGCGAAGTCACGAATCATATGTAACAGGCTTGTTCATGCCGGATCCAAGCGCGAATGGCGATGTGGTTTTGCTACGGTTCCTGACAAGGCAGTGCGCCAAAAATGTATGTTTTCTGTAAATTCTGATAATTGCCATCAAACAGTGTATACGTAAGGCGGTTTTCTAATAAAAAAGAAACGGAGGTCCGAATTGATTGGCCTGATTGTAAGGGAACAATCGCGTACTCTCTGTGATGCAAGGAATGAGTCACCGCACTGGGCTCACTTTCGCAATGCTTGTGCATCACGTCGCACCTTCGATGGTTGGCTTGGAGCAATCGGACACACTACAACCGGCTGGCCAAATGCCAGAACTGTTGGAAATTCGGTCCTCCATATAAGTGTCCAATCATCATACTCTCTATAGACATTTGAGAGCTCTATGCGCTTTCATTCGGACCTTACCTCAATATATTGGGTTATCTCAAAAATTCGTGCGTATTTTTTGGATCTCATGCCACAAGCTCCTTCAGCAAATTCTAATTATGTTCACGTAGGCTGTGGAGAGGGCACAACGTGCAGTAACTTATAACCGAATCATGCCCACCATCCTAGTCGCCTTTTTCGAGTTCAAAGAAAGAGACATGTTTTTCACGCTCTGACTCAAGAACCTCTACTGAGCCACAAACCGATTGAAGCCGAAGCATCTGCATCGCGATACATCTCCTTGTCCTGCCAACCATGAGGTATCAGAATGGATGGATCTTCTTTGCTCAGGAGACTACAGCCGGTAGAAAACCCTCGTTCAGGGAGGCCATCGGTGTCGGATTTGGAGAGCCTGCGCTCTCTCGTGGGAGCCGATCCACACGGGGTAACCTGCTATGTGGCCGTACACCCTGTTGTTTCAGATGGACCGTTCATGGAGGTTCTCGCTCTTTCGTAAAACGGCCCTGGTCAAACAAAACCACTACAAAAGTTGAGAAGCACAGGTTTCATGACAACCACACCTAGAATCCCCAGGGACTAGATCGAACAGAAGAGGGTGAAAAGTGAAGAAATTCACCACAAGGTCGTGCTCCACCTCTTTTGGAGCGTTCTCGAGTAAACCACTAGAGACATGTCCCTCATTATAGCTATGAATTCACTCAAGTGTAGGGAGATCAACGGCAGAGACTCACGGTGAAACTCCAACAACTGTCCTTAAAACTCGAAAAAGTGTGTACGCTCCACGAAACCGAGACGACGCGTTTCGTGAAAGACGCGGCTCTAGATATTAAGACTTAGCCGAAAAGTCCTACCATATCCATCGTGCAGCGGTGATCAATCCTCTTTCAAAGACGTCTGCCTCTTTTTGCTCAGCAATCATCTTCCACACAAAAAATACGATTCCCATAGGCACCTCGAAATCGACCTCACTGCCTTTTTCAGCTCATAACTGCCAGCCTTCTGGAGAGTTAAGCGGCCACTCTTTGGTTGGTCGTTGGCAACAAGTCACTGATAGTGGTGGTGCATATAATGATGATAGGATTGCACATGTGCTTGAAATAGAGTAGGCTCAAAAATAAGTTCAAAATACGCACGAACTTCTGAGACAACCTAATAATTCTCATGCTCTTCCCATTCGCCCAATGCCGCTTTTTGTTCAACTTCTCCGTTTAGGTACATAGCATTCATCATCCATAGCTTCGTTGTACTGAGACTGTTAGGA